ACTTTTAGGATGAGTGATATCTAAAATCCAGGCCCCTGCCATCAACCTCATGAAACATCTCTGTAACTGCCTCCACCATGGGTGAATAAGGCTTCAGGAAACCATGAAGAAAGGGTGATGTTCCCTGTTGGGTCAGCTAAGCATTGAAAGGATTTAGCTGCAAGAGGTGAGATGCCACAGATGCATCACTTGTTGGAAATAAGGAAACTCAGTGTTGTGAGGATTTCATCAGTACATGAAAGTGCTTAGAACAATGCTTGGCACAAAGTGAATGCTCTTCAGCTGTCAGCCTGGGATCCAGATGGCTGTTCTGTGAGCTATCCTGTGGTGGGAGAGACTGTGGCATTAGAGGGCCATTCATTGGCCATGTCCCCTTGGAGACACTGCTTTGACTGTAAATTTTTATTTTCTTACCTGGAAAATAGGTATAATAATAACTAGCTCTTAAGGTTGGGATGAAATTAACTGAGATAATATATGAATTAAAAAGCATCGCACATATGCTGGCTCATAAATCAATTTAAATTCTCTAGCCTGGTTCTTTAATCCTAGATTAGTGATCTGGATAGCTAAATGCAAATCAATAAATAAGAAACAAAAGGTACAATAGCATGCATAGAATAAATTCTCAACCAATACTGGCTGAAATAAACTGTTATGGCACTTGAATTTATATGAAAACACACACAGAGTTTCAGACTACCAAGCAGCATAGTATTAGTGGTATTTCTTTACCCCCATGACTTTTCATTTCCATCAATTAATGAACCATGAGTAGTTGTTGCTTATAATGTTTGACTCCTGTGGAAATACAGCACCTTCCACAGTCACCACTTCACTGTGATACAGATTAAGGCATTTCAAAAAATTGAAAGTCTGCTCTGGTAGGTCACATCAAGTATCATTTTTCTAATATTCTTAAGCAGAAATTGTCACAGTATTCATGGAACTACGTCTTTACACAGTGATGATTTGGGTTTTAGATGCTTAGTGACTTGTAATGAAACTTGATAATCATAAAAATACTTAACCTTGGTAATTCTCCTCTAAGATTGATTATAGTTGTCCTTCCTTAATAACTAAACTCAAGAAATGGATCTCTGTCCGTCTAGGAGAGCGATCAATTCTTTCTTTCTTTCCCCTGCACTCCCAGCAATTTTCTCCCTCACACTCCAGTTTTCATTTGTACCTTCACAGTCACGGACACTCCAAATATCCCTGGGCACTTTTTCCCCTAATATCATCTCTACAAGATCCTAAATCCTAGAACAAAGTCATTTTGACTTAAGTTTTACATGTTCTGATTTTTCATATAGTATTTTTAAATTATTGAGTACAAGACAGTATAAAACAGAAAGTACTGTTCCCTATAGCTCAGTGCATCTCAAACTGTAGGTCATAACTGACCCATTAGTGAATGGTGAAGTCAATGCAGTGAGAATTGTCATCAACTCTTTGTAAAAGTGAAACAAGATTAAAAAAATATATACTGTGCATCATACAGAGCCAGGGTAAATACTGTTTCATAAAATATCATACAAAATATAGAAATATGAATGAGGGCCAGGCATAGTAGCTCACACCTGTAATCATAGCACTTTGGGAGGCTGAGTGGGGAGGACTGCTTGAGCCCAGGAGTTCAAGACCAGTCTGGGCAACACAGACCCTGTGTCTACACTTTTTTTTTTTTTTTTTTTAATAAAAATGTGCTTTATTAGAAGGAAAATTTAAATATAACCAACAATACTGAAAATAATGTAATTGGCATTTATAGCCTTGGTCAAAGTTCTTTATTAAGCAGGCATTTGTTTGCTGTTCCATGAATAGTTAACAATTAGTTTATGCAACAAAATAGGTAACTTGAAAAAGTGAGTAAGAATATAGAATTATGAACCAGGAATCAGGGGTTCTTTTGTGTTTTTTCTTGTTTAACAAACACGGCTTTTAAAATAAAATCTGAAATATAAAACAAGTCATCTTCATGTAAAGAGCTCTCTTTTCCTACAAGGTTTTGCAAAAATGTTAAACAGTGTTCTAAAATGTGGCTGAAGTTATACTTTACGTACTTTATTTAACTTCTTATATATACATTATCCAGTTAACATAACCACATTTTCATATACAAGTGGGACCATAAACATTCTCTAATAAGACAACACTAGCACAGGGTAATTTTACCCATGTATATATATTCATTTGAAACCTGTTTCCCAAAATGAAATCAATCATTTAAAAGCAAACAACTGCTTGGAATTAATGCCTCTAGACATTGGGTTGTGGGGTCTAGAAGTCATGTAAGAGTATATTGCTTTGGTTGAATATAATTAAATTCATCTTATGTCTACACTTTTTTTTTTTTTTGAGACAGAGTCTGGCTGTGTCTCCCAGGCTGGAGTGCAGTGGTGCGATCTCAGCTTACTGCAACCTCTGCTTCCTGGGCTCAAGCCCATCCTCCCACCT